AAAAGGTATCAAACAAGGTATTACTAATACACAAAGCTAATGCAAGTATTATTTTTGTTAATATACTCTACCAAACGAAAGGAAACTTCCAATTAAATAACACCGCATGTTTTATTTTCTCCAAGTTATTCGGGTTTACTTGAGGTTTACATTAGTTGTATTAATTTATCATCTTTAAGAAATATAAGAATATATATTAATTAACTATATTCAATTGACTACAAAAATTATTGTTGAGATTGATTAGTGACACATGTTAATCCTTTGCGCGCTTTAAAATGTGAGTAACATCATGTTCCGTCAATATTTTGTGTTTAAATGATCCATGAAAAAATAGAATTGGAGGATTCATGAAACAAAATTGAGTTTAAATATCAAAATGAAATTTAGGGACTAGTTAAAGAGGTTGTGTATGTATTTGGCCTTCCAAATTTAATGCGTAGATCAAATACATGCATTTCTTTTATTTAAATTTAGTAAATGCTATTGGACTATTTTATCAAAGAAACTTCGGGAAAAGGTCAAAATTACCCTTGAACTATTTGAAATAGCTCATATATATCCTTTATTTATTTTTGGGAGCAAAACTACCCTTGCTGTCTATGTTTTGGACCAAAAATGCCCTTGAAACGTTATATTTGCCATTGGAGCTAACGTGACAGTCCACCTAGGCAGTCCAACATGTCAAAAATCTCTTCCTCTCAATAATGTTGTTCTTCCTTATTCATCCCTATCACAAGAAAAAAACCAAATATAATTTGATCCATTGTTCTTGTTGTTCGTACTTTAGAACTCCAATTTTAAAGTGTGATAAAGTTTGTTTGAGGTTGTAGTTGTATGTTGAAGGATCGAGTCCGTTGTTTGGGTTTTGGGGTCATAGATTCACAAAATCGATTTTTAGATTTTCAAGCATTTAAGAACTCTTTCATATATTTTTTATATTTTTTGGGGTTCAACTCAAATCTTCAAATACCAATCTTCAAATTAAGAAATCAATAGTTAAATGTCAATTTTCAGCTTCAATTGCATTATCCAAGCAATTTTCAGTAGCATTTAATTAAATCTCTTCAAATTTCCGCACTTAAAAACCCAATAAAAGCTAAAAATTTCTCACCGACAAGCTTTCAAATGAGTAGCTATTTTCGAGTTTCAACATAGAAAGAATGACTTCAAGAGTTTTTCAGCATTTTTCAACCTTGAGAATTAATTTTTCAGCCTCAGATTCGATGACATCAAAATTCAAACAATGAACTCAATCATTCAACACACAACTACTATCTCAAACGAACTTCAACGCATTTTGAAATTGAAATTTCAAAGTGCGAACAATAACTCAAACAAGAACGATGAAAGAACTATTTTTTTTGAGATAGATATGAACAAGAAAGAACAATATTATTGAGAAAAAAAGGTTTTTTGCCATGTTGGATTGCCTATGTGGACTGCCATGTCAGCTCTAATGGCAAAGATAACGTTTTAAGGGTATTTGTGGTCCAAAACATAAACAAAAAGGGTAGTTTTGATCCCAAAAATAATAAAAGAGTATAAATGAGCTATTTCAAATAGTTTGAGGATAATTTTGACCCTTTTCCGAAGAAACTTTAATCTCTTAGGTAGATAACTGTTGGAAAAAATGAATTAAATAGAAAAAAAAGATATATATATATATATATATATATAATTGAATTAAAATTTTCAAGTGTATCATACAAATGAAAAGAAATTATAAAGCATAACACGACTCTTACTTAAAATTGTTAACTTCTTTTAACTCTAAGAAGTCAACTTAAGCATATCCTATAATTAATATGCAACTAATTAAGCACAAGTTGCTTGGTACTTGATGTCATGAACATCATAATAAACCTTAATCCCATCATCAACTACTAATCTAGTCTTATATTGATATCGACGAGCAACGTATAAAAAGTAGAACAAATTCAACACACCTAATCCTGCAATAAGATAGTAATAATTTTCTACTCGACCCTTGTTAATATCCTTTGTTAACCAATTTGGATGTCCATGTCCCCTGTAGTTGTACGCTTTTTGTGAATCGCGATAAAGATCTTAACAATGCTTCCTTCAGACTTCTCATAAACATACATTTTTGTCCCAATGAAAAATAAAATGAGAAACAACAAAATGAGCACGGTATAGGTATTCCAAATCCAATTGCCCAGCTCACATAATCTTTAATTTATACCACAAGAGTAACTACAATGATCAAAATCATTGTAAATGAAGTGTAATACCAATTAAAGAAGCTAGTTATTCCTTTTCTTCCTTCATTAGTTGTTGGAATAAAATGGGATGCGACAAATTGACACAGACATACAATTACTATATACAATTGACAACATATCGTTCAATATTAATTAGCAATTAATAGTCTAAAAAAAGAAGAAGCACGTATTAGCCTAAAAGAAATATAACAAACTTTTTATAAAAAAATTTAATCATGTGCAACCAACCGACATTAATTAATTAGATGTGAGATTATATTTTCTTCCTTGTTTTTAACTCCCATAATTAAAGAAGTCAACTTTTCAGTTTCTTTAAATTCTCAAACTCAACTTTATTATCAATCTATTTTAAAAAATATTAACGCAATTTACAAAAACATAAAGATATATTTGATGGTAATTTTGTGAAATATTTTTTTTACCAACGGACAGTAATTAGTTTATTAAAAAAAATGGTTGCCTACTTTAAGAAATGACTAATTAACCCATTAAAAAAAGGTTACATCAACTTTTAAGGAAGGAATTTTTTAATTCTTTAATTAAATTATTAAAAGATTGCGACTACTTTTAAGGTAAGAAAATATATTATTAATTTTCAATTAATGTGTGTTAATTATCAAATAATTGACAATAATTAATCAAATAATATAAGAGGCATTGATTTTTATTAGAAACTATAATAATACGTATGCATAGATTATACAATAAATAAAGTTGCAATTACATAATGTATACATAAAAAAAAATACAATATGTATACACAAAAAAATTATTCATAAAAATAAGCGTGTAAATTTTGTTGATGTATACAGTAATTGTAGCATGTATACATAAACTTTATAATGTATACATAAGAATATTACCAACAATTAAAGGTATAACTATAATGATTACAAGAATGAGATTAATATGATACATGTATAAATAAAATTTTATTCATAAATGGTACATGTGATTTTGTTTATGTATACGGTAACTGCACTATGTATATATTGATTTGTATTGATTTGTGTATTCATTGGTCTGTATCCACCCAATAAATTTGTATACATTTATTGAGATTGAAATTGTCGTTCATTGATATACATTGGTTTGTATTTATAAAAATCAAAATTCCAATTTTTTCACGAGGATCTTATGAGAACCTCTCTTACCCATGAAATTGAAAATAAAAATTCCAAATACTATAACCTAAATTTTTGTCAAAAAAAAGTTAAAAAAACATTAATCCACAAATCACAAATTTCAAAATTAATTGGGCAAGAAATGCTACATAATTATATATTAAAAGAAATTTTTAGGAGGACCGATAGATAAACATACAGTTATATTTGATTTGCATAAACAGAGTGAATTAAGGAGAATACGAGAAAATTTGAAAGATAAGCAAATATACATATGAAAAGAATTTTAGAAAGAAAACAAAAAAAAAAAGATAAATAACCTAAATTTCCGCAAAAATAAAATTGAAAAAACTTCAATTCCACAAATAATGAAATTCAACAATTAATTGGACAAGAACAAGATTATATATAAAAGATGATTTTTAGAAGTATCCATGGATAAACATATTGCTATATCTGATTCACACAAACTTAGTAAATTAAGGAGAAGAATAAAAATTTTGGAAGAGAAACAAATATACGTATGAAAAGAATTCTAGAAAGAGAAAAAGAAGACAAAAAAAGAAGAACTCTATTTTAAAACGGTTGACAAATAAAAAGGAGAGATAAAAAAAGGAATAATAAAAAAATATTTTTTTCCTTTTCAAGAAAAAAAGAGAGCAATCAAACGTGTTTAGAGAAAAATAAGGGGAACAAAGATATATTTTTTAAGAAAAAGAAAAATAATTATGGAATGTCAAATAAATAAAACAAAGTTTTTTTTGCTAAAAAAAATATTAAAAAATGAACTAATTTATTGCCAATTTAGAGGGTGTTTGGTTTTAAGTCAGTTTTTGACTTATGAAAGTGTTTGATAAATATAAAAATAACTTAAAATAAGTCAAAAAATAATTTAAAATAGGCCAAAAATGAATTAAAATAAGTTTGGAAGTGTTTTACAAAATTAAAAATAACTTAAAATAAGTTTTAAATGACTTAAAATAAGTTTTAAAAATTCAAAAGGAGGTTTCCGCCTACTTTTTATTTTTTAACTTAAAAGTCATTTATGTTTGACTTTTTATTTTTACTTAAAAGCTATTTTAAAAAAAAAAGTCAATCCAAACATGTTCTTAGACTATAGATTGTCATGTTGTGCCATTTTTTCGATGCTATAAGGTCCAATTCCACCAGACTCAAAAGACAAAAATCCTAAGCCCATTACTAGAAAGCCCATTTGTGACTTATTGGGCCCCTTGCATTGTTTAGATCTTGAAAGATGATTTGAAAAATAAATATTTAATACTAAGAGTAAAATATAGAAAAAGTAATTGTCTTTTTCTTGATAGGTCAAAAGTGACAAGTTGAAATGAAAAACTATTTTAAGAATAAGTGACAAATAAAAATGGACGTATTTAAATGTATCAATTATAACAATAACTTCACAAGGAAAGGCACTTGTTACTATAATAATCTTTACTTACTATAATAGTAACTATTACTTAAAATATAATTGTATCCATAATAACATCACTATTCATAGGGGCACGTGCTTTCTTCTTTATATTATATTTCTACTTTTCCAATTGTACAATATTTATTGTTGAAAAGTGGAATTTTCTTGACTTTTTTTAGTTTCAAACTAAGCTTAAGAATGGACATTACTCTGAGGGTAACCAATGTAGCATTTTTCTTTATTTTACTCATTTATATTTTTTTCAAGAAAAATGGTGAGAGAAGAAAATCCACTATTTTCACCAAGATAACAGTTTTAGTTAATTTCTCAATAGCCCTTTTTTATTTGGGATTTTATGTCTATGAATTCTGGAAGTTGAGAGCTTTTGTGTTTGAAGAATCTGTTTTTTCTTTTATGACATGGAGTGTAGCTACTGTAATTGCAGCCTATTCATTAAACAGAGAAAAAAGGTGTCCATTATTACTCATCATGTGGTGGTTCTTTTCTAGTATTTTTGAGATAATTTTAGTCTCATTCCATCTTCTCAAACATTATACTAAAGCCCCACATTTTCTTCCCAAAGCAAATATAATTGATTTTGCTTCCCTACCATTGTCAATTCTTCTATGTTTCAATGCCATGCCAGTACCAGCCAACAAATACAGTGAAACTGAACAGCCATTCCTTCATAAAGATGAGGTAAATACACATGATGATTCATTTTCTAGTGCTAGTATTTGGAGCCTAATCACATTTAGGTGGCTTAATCCACTATTCAAGAAGGGTTATGAGGAAAAGCTCAGAGTAGAGCATATACCTTCAATTCCTCACACTGAGACTTCTAATGAAGCTTCTTCTTTGTTGGAAGACGCACTTCACGAAAAGAATACTTCTACTTTCTTCATCCCTCATGCCATATTACATATGATTTGGAGACCACTTGCCTATAATGCAGTTTTTGCAGGTAATTCTTGATTTTTCAAGACTCATCCTAATAACACCATTAACATCAGGAGCAGTTCTCTCAGCACTAGCAACTTTCAGGATTCTACAAGAACCAATTTACAACTTGCCTGAGCTAATTTCCATGGTTGCTCAGACAAAAGTTTCTGTTGATAGGATTCAAGACTTCATGAGAGAGGAAGATCAAAAGAAGTTAACAAGCTATAATACTCCTAACACTTCTGAAGTGGCGATCGAACTTGAACCAGGAGAGTATGCTTGGGGCACAAATGAGTCCAAGAAATCAACGATTAAGATAACTGTGAAAATCAGGATAATGAAAGGGTGGAAAGTAGCAATATGTGGTTCAGTGGGATCGGGAAAGTCAAGCTTAATCTGTAGTATTATGGGAGAGATTCCTAGAATTTCCGGATCAAGTATTAAGCTTAATGGTTCAAAGGCATTTGTACCACAGAGTGCTTGGATCCAGACAGGCACTGTTAGAGACAATGTTCTGTTTGGCAAGGAAATGCATAAGGCACGTTATGATGATGTCGTGGACAGATGTGCTTTGAAACGTGACATTGAGATGTGGGCTGACGGAGATCTAAATTCTGTGGGAGAAAGAGGAATGAACCTAAGTGGTGGACAAAAGCAAAGAATTCAGTTGGCCAGAGCTATTTATAGTGATTCAGACATCTACCTGCTCGATGACCCTTTCAGTGCTGTTGATGCACAAACTGGAGCTCATATGTTCAAGGCAAGTACTACATCCTACTTTTGTAGAGTTTTTTTCAGTAATCTAGTTGGTATTTTTGATGTGCAACAACCCTTCATCATATTGCAGAAATGCTTAATCCAACATCTACATGAAAAAAACAGTTGTTTATGCCACTCACCAGTTGGAATTTTTAGATGCTTCTGACCTCATCCTTGTAAGTTGAAACCATTTTCAGTTGATTGAAACAAACTAGAAAAGTATATCTTAGTTTTTCTTCTTACCTGATATGCTTAGGTAATGAAAGATGGAAGAATTGTTCAATCAGGAAAGTATAGTGAGTTGATTGCAGATCCTGATGGTGAGCTCCTACGGCATATGGTGGCTCACAATAAATCATTAGATCAAGTGAAGCCTTCCCAAAAAGGCAGCTGCTTAACTAAGGGTAAAAACCAGAAAAACCAAATTGAAGATCTTACCAATGAAAACAAAATCTTAGAAAGAACTCAGCAGGAAGATGCAGTATCAGGTCGAGTTAAATGGAAAGTCTACTCAACCTTTGTAACCTCGGCGTATAAAGGGGTCCTTGTACTTCCAGTCCTTCTATGTCAAGTTCTCTTCCAGGGACTTCAGATGGCAAGCAACTACTGGATTGCATGGGGAACAGAAGAAGAAGGAAGGGTTACTAGCAGGAGATTAATTGGAATATTCGTGCTGCTGTCAGGGGGAAGCTCTTTTTTCATCTTAGGAAGAGCAGTTATGCTATCAACTATCGCAATTGAGACTTCTCAGAAGCTCTACATTGGAATGATCAAATCACTCTTCCGAGCGCCCTTGTCATTCTTTGACTCCACCCCTTCCAGTAGAATTCTCAATAGGGTGAGTTTAGCAACTGAAATGAATTAGTTGTCTTGAAATGTGTCTATAGTCAGTTCTTTGTTTCTTCATACATGACTTTCTGGCTGCGTCTATTCTGAACTTCAATTTTTTTTCTTGCTTGTCAGTCTTCTACGGACCAAAGCACCATGGACACAGATATTCCATATAGATTGGCTGGACTAGCATTTGCACTTATTCAATTATCGAGCATTGTTGTCCTCATGTCCAATGTTGCCTGGCAGATCATGTTTCTCTTCCTTCTGATACTTGCCATCTCTGTGTGGTATCAGGTAATAAGAAACTTAACCTGAAGTTTCTTTTATATCACTTCTAAATGGGAAATGCAACCAATGAGTATTTACTTCTCTTAAATATGGCCTTAGTGTTAATGATTCAATTCTTAATACAGGCATATTACATTACCACTGCTAGAGAACTAGCAAGGATGGTTGGCATTCAGAATGCTCCAATCCTGCATCATTTCTCAGAATCTCTCACCGGTGTAGCAACAATTCGTTGTTTTAATCAGGAAGACCGATTCTTGAATAAGAATTTAAGTCTCATCGATAACTATTCACGTGTTGTTTTTCACAACTCTGCTACAATGGAATGGCTCTGTGTTCGAATTAACTTTCTCTTCAATCTCATATTCTTCTTTCTTCTCGTCATCCTGGCACACCTTCCTCGAGAGGCTATAGACCCCAGTAAGCTTTTATTCTTCTCCATTTCCATTTCATGCATCCTGTGTAACACATTCCCAGGCAGTTCATCAATAAAATTCCAGGCAGCTTCTTTGGTGATGCATGAGTAGACATAAGAAACAAATCTTAGATTAAGAACTTACACAAACTGAGGAAGTCAAAGTCTATGATAACAACTTTTTCTTTTTTTCACTGTGGTAAATGGCTTCAGTGTGTGATAGCACATGTTTCATCTGTTTGCAGGTTTAGCAGGACTAGCAGCTACCTATGGCTTAAATCTTAATGTTCTCCAAGCTTGGGTTATATGGAACCTGTGCAATGTTGAGAACAAAATGATCTCAGTTGAGAGAATACTTCAGTTTAGCGACGTTCCTAGTGAAACTCCACTGATAATTGAAAAGTCCAGGCCAAAACCTGATTGGCCTCTAAAGGGAAGAATTGACATTACAAATCTTCATGTACAATACAGCCCTGATCTCCCAAGAGTTCTAAAAGGTATAACCTGTACCTTTCCAGAATGATATATATAGTAGTTATTGTTAATCCTTAACTAGTAGTCTAGTTCATACACTTAATTAGTTACTTCTTGATTATTATTATTTTTTGCTGCAGGTTATTTCTTGATGTAACAATTAACCTTACAATTTGTTTGACTGTCATTTCCCATAGCATCAATCACCATGAACTTGACACGAATTGTTAGTTTCGTGCCCGAGCTATTGACAAACGACAGTCAAATCCTTCAGCAATCAATGTGATACTATGACAACCATGAGTTAGCAAATGCCCCCATATACTTAGAATTCAATTTCGGTCATGATCCGCTTAAATATACTTTGGTCTAGGGCTCTAGGCTAAAAAAGTCGAGTTTGGTCATGACCAACTTAATTTCAAGAATACTAATATATTAATATTTATTTATCTTTTGTAAACATAATTTAAATTTCAACTCAATAAAATAAAAAAATTAGATTCCAATGTATCTAATTTTAGTTAGTCAAGTAAAAAGATATTTTTAATAAAACTGACAATAATTTGAAATGAAACTATAATAATTGCCTCAACTTCTAGAGTATTTTTATACTTACCAAAAATAAAATAAGGATTTTACCAACTGTTTCAGTATTTTTGGTAGTAATAGAAACGTATTTTTGGTAAACTAAATACTAATATTGATCATAGTGTTAAATTACACACAATTTAGTATCGCCAGGAAATTTTCCCCAAAGAAGAACAAAATGTGGAAAAAACCCAAAAAAATGGCGGATGAGGAAACCCTAGACGAAATCAACAAGCTGCCGGAGTCCCTTCTGGTTCAAATTATCTCTCTTTTGCCGATAAAGGATGCTTTCAAAACCTCTTGTGTCAAAAAAGTGGCAACATCTTTGGACTTGTACCGATAATCTCGTTTTACTCTGTAACAAACATTCGGAAGCTGAAAACTTTGTATCCTTCGTAGACTATGCTTTTGCTCAACGTTCTTCTTCCAAAATCCGAAAATTCCATCTAGATTTCTGGTCCATTGCTCGTTACAGCTTCAATGTCAAACAATGGCTTACTTATGTTATAGAAAACCAAGTTGAAGATATTAAATTGGAGTCAGTTTTTTCTGACAATTACACATTGCCTCAAATGTTGTATACTTGCTCATCGTTGAGAACATTTCAGTTTCTTCATGGAAATCTCTGAAGAAACTGAAACTTGAGCATGTGAAGTTATACAATGAAGTCATTGTAAAGTTATTGTCAGGTTGTACAACCTGCTTTAGACTTTTCCATAGTTTTCGCAGTCTGGAAATAAATAATCCTAATTTAAAGATATTAAAGTTGAAAGACATTTGGCCGGAGTATGAAGAAGGTGATCACACTTTGGAAATTGTTGCACCATATATTCAGCATTTGGAGATTTCAAGCGACATTGATGATTTTAAATGTAGGCTAGTGAATGTATCTTCCTTGGTCACTGCTGAGATTACTTTTGATATCAGATGTGAGAGTGACATTCAGGATCATTACGAGTATGGTGACTTTGACAAATGCCGTAATTATCATATTGTGTTTTGGACGCTCGTGCAAGATTATCTTCACAAATTGAGAGAGAAAATGATCACTCTTCATGTATAAGGGTTGATTTATTTTGGTCCTTTTAACATATATCACTTGATAGAAATAGTCCTTAATGTATATAAAATGGGTATCACTTTGGTCTAAGCCCTAAATTTAACTTTTTCACTGTTAAAAACTAACGTTCCCCTTCTCTGGTTCTTCCTCAATAAGAGGATACTAATCCACCCCATATATTGCTTATTCAAACTCGCCCATAACTTTTTTCTTCTTTTTTTCAAGTAATTTCTAACTTCTGGATCAACTGAAAATTTATTGGATTCAATAGAAGGGCAAAAAAAAGTCTCACCTATTAATTTCAATTTTCATGTTTCATTGAATTAACTAATTAGCTCATCCAATCCAAAAATCATCTAAGTCATTCAAAAGAGATTATAAACTAAACAGTAATAAAATAATGGAGAATTTTTTTTGTGTCTATATCATCCAAAAGCATGGATATGCTACTTCTTATATCATTATATTACCTGTTTGAATAATTTTTTTGATTCAGTCAAAACATCTAAAAATAAAGTCATTCATACCATTAATGAAAAAATGGAACAAGCTGCTCAAATCATAATGAGTATTGAATTTTTCTAAAAGATGGAGTTGACAATTGAGAAAAGTAGCAAAAAAAAACTAGTAGGAATGCTCCAAATGAGGAGGGGCTCGTAGAAGACATGTTTTTTATTCATGTTCATTGTGAGAATGGTCGGTCATCGGACATCTACCAGGAGTCAAATTTCAAACATTTTTCCATAGGTATGAACTTTTACATACATGTGGAAAATATAAATTTTTATCTATTTTGGGGATTAACGAAGACAACACAGAAGATAGTTAAAAATGAAAAAAAGAACAGCTTTTAAAATCTATTTTAAGAAGATGATGCAGTTTTAGAGAGAAGAAGACAGGAAGACAGAGCAACCAAAGAGAACAGAGAAATGAGTACTGGAATGGGCCGTTAGTTTTAACAGAGAAAAGTTAAATTTAGGGTTTAGGATCAAAATGGTACTCATTTTGCATACATTAAGGACTATTTCTATCAAGTGATATATATTAAGGACCAAAATAAATCAACCCCTATACATGAAGGACCATTTTGATCATTTTCTCCAAATTAAGACATGTGACAAAGCTAACCGTCGGAACCTTGTTTGTAGAGGTTTATTACTGACTCAAAATTACTTTATTAGATAATAGTTGCAGAATGCAGTATAATATAATTGACTGCTTTTGTAAACATGAATATTTCTACAAAAATAAGGAAAAAAATCTCTGTGTAATATCTGTCACCTTTTGAATTCCGATATTTGTCATACCGACAAAATATGACTTGGTGAAGTAGCATTTCATACATTGATATTGCTTATAGTATTTAGATATCTACCATTGTCATAAGACTATCGTCATCTATGTTCTTTTTATTGCTTTCTCTTTTTCTGTTCTTTACTAGTTTCATTGGTATTCCTGCACCAGGTCCTATTCATGCTGCAGCTAGATGGAGTGCATATTCCAGAATTGAAATGCAAATGTCTAACACTAAAGTTTCATATATCAGAGTATAACTTGTATGGAGTTGCTACTCTTTTGCAGGCCTCACCTCATGTGGAGACACTCAACATAGACATGGAATCTTACGTAATTTTCGATATCCTTGCTCTTTTTCATATATCTGTTCATCTTTTGACATTTTGATGCATATAAATCCTTTTTTTTTTGAAATGGTAATAATTGTATTTATACAAAGCTCAAAGGTAGTGCTAAGATTCTCTACAAGTGAATAGAGAGGCACTAAAAATTCTTGTAAAGTTATTGCATCGTTTGTGTTGTCCTTTTTAGTTTTACCCCAAAAGTGAAATGACATAATACAATCTAACTTGAAATCGTCTGCACTGATTTCTACCAACTTAATTTTGCTTTGTCCAATCCTTGACTATATCAACAAGACAAAAAATCTTGTGTATTCCCCGGCATAGACCATCTGATACCGACCAAGTTGAGAAATAGCTGCCATAATTGGTATGTAATAGGACAATGCAAACAGAGATGATTAATAGAGTCTGCATGGAGGAGCATTTGACTCCATATTTGTTTCTAAGGCCATGGTTTGAGATGTTATTCTTCTTTGTTCAGGATTCTGTAACTAGACTTTACTGAAAATTCTCCTTTCATGTAGCAATTCCATTCAATTTGTCTTCACCAGATGTGCAACCTTGAAAGCTTTCCAGTAAGTGATGAAAATCACATATTCTTGGACATTCCCAATCATTCATATTTCTTTTAAAACTCACCAAGTTCCATTGACTCTAGAGTCAGTCACGGTAGCATTATAAGACAAAACTCCATTGTACTGGTCTGGGAATTGGTCCTTCAATGGACTATGACCAATCCATTCATCCAGCCAGAAAATCGTTTTGCACAACTCTAATACTTATGAGTTGTTTGAATTCAGGCCATAGATTCCTTATGCTTCTCCATAATTTTTTTTGACTGGTTTAATGCACTAATAACCTTTAAGCTGTATTTAACAATGATCACCCTGCTCCACAAAGCTTGCTTCTCTATGTGAACCTCCAAAGGCACTTCATTAACAAGTTTTATTGTGTATCATTAGATTCTTGATCCCCAGTCCTCAACATTCTTCTGCTTGAGTAGTGATTTCTAATTGACAAGGTTGAAGGATTTCTGCTCACTTTATCAAGTCTTTGTTCAATCTTTGTTGGTAGAGCAAACAAGGACATAATATAAGTAGGTAAATAATTCAATATACTATTCATCAAAGCCAAGTGATAAATATTGATTCTTTCCAGCTAGAAATTTGATACGTTCAAACTTACACTTCGAATAAAAGGTATAAACGGTCGTTGTCAATTTACAGAACTCAACCATAGTTAAGGTCGATCCCACGGAGAATTTCTTTACAGATAAAGTTTTACTGTCGCGTTTATTCAAATGTTGTTATTATCTCCTAAACAAATAACAACGAAAAGTAAATTGGGTTTGGTTGAAATGTTATAATTACCAAAACTTGTAGTCAAAATCCAAATTCACGACTAACAGACTATTTCGTTGTAAGGTTGATTCAGTTAATTAAGAGAAACCAGGATTGTGTTCACCATAACATCAGTTCTAGTGTTCTTCCGTAATTGAGCGTAAGGCAAATCAATGTTTACAGAATCATTGCGAGTTAGATTTATCTGACGCTTCTCAGCCTAATCAGATAATTATCACCCATGTTCTCTTGACCCTAGGGTGTTACTAACATTGACCCTCGCTTACAATGAGATGGTGTTAATGTTTTTTTCTCTCGAACTCAAGCTTTAACTCCAATTTATTAATTTAGTTCAGATTTTTCTTAATTGGTATTTTTCTCTCGAACTGATACCAGATACATGATCATCTAATGCGTGCAC